TGGCATTGAAAGTCTAAAGAAAGCAGAAGTAGAAAGTCGTCTGAAGGGGGTTTATTCCTTTTTGTCTGGATCAAAATGTAAAAAGACTGAAATACTGATGCTTTCAGCATTACTTCATTCAAGGAAAGATTAAAATGTTAGTACCTCACTAAGGTATTTATACATCTTGTAATTTTCTTTGTCACATTACAACCACAAACTTGAATGTACTTTGTTGGAATTTTATGAGATAACATGGTGCATTTTTAATGAAATGGAAGTGAGATGATAGACAGGCTTCAAAAGGTTTTGTCAACAAAGTGAATGAATGGCAATGAATTCATATTATTGCTTCTCTCAAGTAATTGCTCCAAAATGCAGTTCCATAAAGTCTTTTAGTTTCATTTTTCTTTTTTGGAATGTGACAGGATGGCTTCATGGTAGCTTTAAACTTTATTTTCTCTCAATTTATTGGGACTTGATTTCAGATTTGGGTAGCAACTCATATTTACTTAATTATCTTTTAGAGTTTTTTTTTTTTTTTTCGAAAAAAAATTACTTATAGGAGTATTTTTTACTACACTGTACTTTTTACTTTTACTTGAGTAAACTTTCTGGATTTTCTTCAATGAACGAAGAACAAACATGTTTTAACCAAAGCTTCACTCGACAAAGACACATCTGCAGTTTTTGTTAAAGTTTCATAAGTTTTTTTATTGAAAGAAACTGATTTGAAAAAAATATTTTGGTTGATTTTGTTATTTTATGCTACTTACATGAAATATTATTTTTGTCCTTAAAACACAATTTCCACTTAACTTTATATCTTGGGCCATCTAATTTTTAAATATTAAATGACTGATAATTTGATCAATTACTCAGTACTTGAGTAGATTTTTTACCAACCTCTGCCTCAATCTCAAATCTTTTGCAACTTCCAACAGAAAATGATGCTACCACCATGTTAAACCATTAAAAGTCTTTTTTTGTTGTTGTTTGACCAGAATATGACTCATAATTGTCCTAAAACAACATTTTATTCCTGACCTATTTGATGTGTTCCTCTGTCTTCACAAAATGTTTGACTTCTAGAGGCATTCAGTTTTAATTGAAGGGATTAGAGTAAAGGGGTTTTAGTTGAATATAATTGCACACCTCAGTTTTTAGTGAATAACTTTGAAGCACCATTCTCCTCCCACATCATAAATATAACCTGGCTGGTGATGGTCTGAGAAATAAAATCCCAGTAAAACACACTGAAGTTTATAGTGTGAATGCTTTGACTAGACACTAAAGCCACCCTAATGCCCTACATTAAGACTTTTAACCCCAGCTGATCCCAGCACAACTGTGCAGTGATCAGACCAGCTCAGGTTTCCAGGTGTGAATGTGTATTTAAGGTGTCTCCTACAAGCACGGCCAAGTGAAAGACGAGTTTGTGGTTACAATTCAGTCATAATTAGAAAGTGAGTCAGCAGTTTTAATGTAATCGTGACAGTGCAACAGTCGTGTCACAATGTTGATCTCTGCTAAAAGAGGAAAGTATAGTAAGACTTTTGCTGAAGCCAGAAGCTGCTTGCCATTAAAGACGGTCCTTCCTTACCTGACCTGGTGCTCCAAGAAGCTCATGTAGCGGTAGAGCAGCGTGTAGGACGGAGACAGGATCCCCACCGACTTCATCCGGGCCCCCCTCTCCTCCGTGCTCTCCACCGCCATGTTGGCGAAACAGGCGAGGCCAAAGTAGCGGCCTTTCCGGAAGTAGCTGCAGAAGGAGGAAAGATGTGGGGATGGAAGATGAGGCAGTGAGTCAGGGAGAAGCGAAGGCACTGCCAGATGGCTGCGCCAGACAGCACTTTGCCAGGATGGGAGGTGGTGGGGGTTTTGGGGGGAGGGAGGAGATCTGGGGCCGCATCCTAATATTTGAAGCTGGCTTACTCTGCTTGCCAGCAAACAGAGCCACTCACATGAAGTCCGTGCTGACTCGGTGGGAGCCGCTGGCAATGGCTTTGAACTCCACTCCCTCCAGGTCCATGTCTTTGGGTAGACACCACTCCAACATGTTACCTGTGTCACACGCAGACAACATAAACAGACGGGTACATTCGTATTCAGGGAGCTAAACGGGACGTGGAAGTCGCCGTGAGCTTCGGCTGAGCAGACCGGGCCTGACAGGTGCAGACGAACAGAGAACGTGACTCAGCGAGTTGACGGCGTTCGATTACGTGTGTCAGTCAAACAACCTTCTGCAGGAATATGAGCTGGTTTGTCAACAAACCAACGTTTTTTTTTCCCACCATAAACTACAGAATGTTTTTGATATGATAAACAACAAAAAGCAACACTTATTTGTACAGTGGAAGAACACAACACGACACTTTTTTTAAGGAGATAGAAACAAAGAAGAATGTCTGAAAAGTGTGGTGTACATTTTTCTCCAGCTCCATTTACTTTGATACTTAAATTCAAATTGAACAACTGTTAGGTTGCATTTTAACCCTTAAAGTAAATATTTTCCTTTTATAATAAGAAAATAATACTGAAATAATTTGCATCTTTAGATCAGGATCTAACTAGAAGCTTTTGTTTTAATCTTATGGTAGCTAATTATAGTTGAGGGAAAGATGGATGGAGCAATAAATCCAAGAAAAGCCAAATAAAAGTCTCAGTGAGAGACTTGGAAAATCATTGTCACAACTGAAAAGACTAGGCAAAAATATGAGTCAATAGATGTGCAAAGATGTATCCTTTCCCTTCCAATTCACAATTATGCACTTCTTTGTGCATAATTGCACAAAGAAGTGCAATAAGCACTTCTTTGTGCAATTAAAGAAGTGCACAAATAAGCTGTGTGGAACTTTATCGTTGTTAGGCAACAGATTGTGAAAAAAGCAGAAATGCTCTTGCAATACACTTTAGTTTTATTCAGATTTGTTTTTCTTTACTCAGCTGAAATCTGATCAAAGTGTTTTGTAGCTCAGCAGCAAGTGCCTTTTGTTAATATAATTAAATAAATAATAAAAATCAGACTTGCTTATATAAAGAGTGTCATTCTGGACCATCTGTTACACTGAGACAAAACTAGCCTAGATTTTTTTAAAGAAAGTAAATAATTCTCAGATTCTTTGGCCCAGAAACATTTCTTAAATGTTAAAACTTTAGCAATTTCTTTTTTGTAAGTTGCAACTTTATTCAAGGTGTGATTTCAAATGGTTCATCTGAAACTATGCTTTTGGAAGTCTTTATTGTGAAGAAATCTGGGCTCCGTGATTATAAACATTTTTTTCTTTTACTAAAAATAATGCTTTTTCAATAATGCAATGATTTACTAGATGTACATTGATTGTTATTGTTAAACGCTGTAGCATCATGGCACTGGTGGGCTGGAGGCTCATTATATTATTGACTTTTCACTCTTATTTGCGTTCTTCTCACCCAAGATTGTAACATGCAGTGATAATTACGCAGTAATGATTCCTTCTTACTGAACAAGGATGACAGTAGCAACCTGCTTGTCATGTCAGCTTCACATGCCGCAAACCCATAAAAGAGCCCAGCTCCACCCTGCAGAAAATCTCCTGTCCTCCATTCAGAGCAGCTTTTCTCCATCATTCATTGATTCTGTGTTTGATTTGCCCACCGACTAAGCAATCCATCTGGCAAGTGATTCACCAGGGCTCTGCCAATCTTCAAGACAGCCCTTATTAAAAATGTATGGGTTACCTCCTGCTGAAGGCGACGCCTGATTGATTTATATCACTTATCCTGACATTTGGTCAAACCCCCGCTGATCTGGCAAGGGAAAATGTGTCGTGACTTTCGACTTTGTCTTTAAACTTGGAGAGAAAGATCAGGAAAAGCCACACCTGTGGGAGAATGATCTGCAGAGTTTGCTCAGACAGGCGCTTATTTTGTTCTAGGCATCATGCCTGGAAAGGATGGTTCTAAATGATACATAATCCTTAATTTACTCAGAATATTTCATGCCTTCCTGAAAACAATTTGTACATATTAGCTGTCTCACCTGTTCTGGTATTAAATGTAACTACAAAGACAGACACAATCTGGTCCTTTTCCTCCCACTTCACCATCCTGTCCTCCAGCGACGCCTCCCTCGTTCCTGAATCCGAGAGATGCTCCTCCTCGTCGGGCGGCAGTGCTCGCTCCGGGGCCGCCGGCGGGGCGCTGGAGGTCGCGGGCGGGGCGCTGCAGCCGTCTGCTTCGGACCTGCGGGGCGGAGTGGGACCCCCAGGTCCGCTGCTCCACCCAAACCCCGAGCATCCTGCCGTGCCGCGGCTGTTGGACTGGCTCGACAGTCGCTCCTCGGAGGGAGTCGCCGCCGGGGCATCGTCGCCGGGTTTCTCCGCGGATGGGATTTCCTCCCAGTCCAACAGAGGGGCTCGGTCCGACCGCTCCACCATCCTGCTCGTCGGCGTCGGTCTCTCCGCCGATCGAAAACGATGATCTCAGGCGACAGCCGCCAGGTCCATCCGTGGATAATCACAAGTCAGAGTGTTCTCCGCAGATTAAAGTTATTGCAAACTGCTCACCAAGGTTGCATTTAAATTGCTTTAAATTGACACAACGCGCACCACTTTTCACGTTTAGCTTGGAAACCTTTCTAATCTTCAATGATCATAAATTTGATGCTGTTTAGAGAGGGCAACTCCTTCGCCTGATGCGAGCTGCATTCAAAACTCACGTTAATTTTTTCGTCTCCCTCCTACAGAATTGAACATTTCGAAACGCGGCTCTTTCGAAACTTCTTGAATGCACCCCGTTAAACAACGGTCGGTAGGTTCATCAGTCTTCTGTTCTCTAGCCACACTTTCGATGAAATATTCGTTCTCTACTAAGCTGCGCACAAATTTAATTTAAAAAGTTTTAAAAGGTAATTCATGCGAGTTATTTTATTATGAAATTGTATTTTCTTTTAATTGTCTCGAAAAGTGTTTTGCTTATTTCACATAAAATAAAAATGTCGCTATGGGTATGTGACGAATGTTGCGAGCAAATCCACGCGAGAGTTAATGACGTCTTCCAGCGACACGTCAGCCAGACGGAACCAACCTGGCAACTACACATTTATAATTCGAGGAACGAGATTTTGAGGAAATGGGTGCGTAATTCAGTTTTTCTTTTATTAAATTAGATATTTTTCAACAGCATACATTGAAAATTATATATACAACATATTCAACAGAGCTACATCAGCGTTCTCGTTTTGCTTCCGTGCTTTAGCGCGAGGTGCAGTTGGTGCCAGCCTGCTTAGCTAATGCTAATGGCTAGTTGTTTATAGTGTTTATTTTATTGTGTTTGGCTGTTTACGGTTTTTCTGTGCGGTGTTTAGCTTATATTCTGGCCTTTCTATCCAGAAACGTTCAGTGAGAGTAATAAAGCATGACATTATGTCTTAAAGTCATAATGCTGTCACCAATGGTAGGGACTGGGAGCTAACCTGAGCTACCTCGATAAACGTGAATGATGGAGACCTGTGGAAAAATGCTTGTATTCGTGCACCCTATTTATTTTTTCCTTCTATAGATACATCTGATGTATTTAAAAGAAAAAAAAAAAGATATTCAACCGTAAAAACAAAAAACAAAAAAACAATCAGCTAACTCAGAACTGAATTCATCAAAGTATTGTATATGCGGTGTGTTTCCTCTCCAGGGGGTTTCTTCTCCAGTCTCTTTTCTGGCCTGTTTGGCACCAGGGAGATGAGGATTTTGATTCTGGGCTTGGACGGTGCAGGGAAAACCACCATTCTGTACAGGCTGCAGGTTGGAGAAGTGGTCACCACGATTCCTAGTATGTACTGCTCCTTCCTATGTCCTTGTACCTAAATTTAGCTTTAAAATTTTAATTCTAATGAAAACACAAAAAAATGACCATGTGGCAATTATTTCCTATTGCTGGAGAATCTTGTTTTACTGGTTTATAGTTATACCATGATCGCAGTCATGATTTCCGCTTATATGTGACACTCTGCAGGTAAATTAGTTCTGTTTGACATTAAGCCATCTATTATTTCTGATGTTTTCCCAGGCAGTTGAATTTAGAAATGCAGTGTATTGAGTATTGTCAGATTACAAAGTGCTGATAACTTATATTCCTTATCCGTCCCTTTATAGCTATTGGTTTCAATGTTGAGACAGTCACATACAAGAACCTGAAGTTCCAGGTGTGGGATCTGGGAGGACAGACAAGCATCAGGTATGTGGGAGGCTACTGGAAATGTGCATATGGTTGAAGAGTAGAGATTATGAGGTTTTGTATTTGATTCATATTTATATTTCACATCAATAACAAGTTCTGTCACCCTCTAATATGTCTCTCCTCTCCAGACCCTATTGGCGGTGTTATTACTCAAACACAGACGCTGTGATCTATGTGGTCGACAGCAGCGACCGTGACAGGATGGGCATCTCCAAGTCAGAGCTGGTGGCCATGTTGGAGGTAAATGCATCCACTATCCAAAATCTTTGCTATGAGAATTATAGTGCCTTACAAAAGTATCCACACCGCTTTAAATTTCTCACATTAAAGGCCAAAAGCGCACAAATTGAACATTTCAGCCATTTATCTGTGCTAAAATTGTTGTATGTCGTCGTTTACAGGAAGAAGAGCTAAAGAAAGCCATCCTGGTGGTATTTGCCAACAAACAGGACATGGACCAGGCAATGACGCCGACTGAAGTGGCCAACGCTCTAGGCCTTCCTGCCCTCAAAGACAGGAAGTGGCAGATCTTCAAGACCTCAGCCACCAAAGGAACAGGCCTGGATGAGGCCATGGAGTGGTAAGCTACATTTCCAGAGCTAGCTTCTGTTTGTGTAGATGTATGCCTGGCTAAGCAGGACCAACTTGTATTGACTCAACCGTTGTATCTGCTTGTTTACTCAAGTTGAATTATATTTGCTTTGTCTCTGCTCGTAGGTTGGTGGATGCCCTGAAGAGTCGGCAGTAAGAGGCGGAGCCCCATCCTGTATATACTCCTAAACTTTGACCCCCTCGCTTTGAAGCCTTGTGACTGACCCTTACCTATTCCCCTAATTTTCTTTGGACCAGTGATTGCACTCCTCCTCCAGTTATACACCCACATAAAGCCTTGACCAAGTCCTCCCAATGCCTAACGCCTTTTAAGCCTGGGACTGAGAAGAGAAGGCTGCAGTAAAATCTGGAGTCAGCACAGATATTTTGAAAGTAAATCCCACATGACACAACCTCAAGAATCAACTCCTGTTATTTGGATATAATAAGCTCCAATGTCAGTGACAAGAAGATCCACCAGGGGGCGATAAAGCACCACACAATAAACATGGCTTATGTTTCTGGAGTCGGTCTTTTAGCCAAGTGTTGCTGCAGCCTGGGCTGTCCGCTTCGTTATGGATTTCGGTTTTTTTTTTCTTCCTACTGATTTGTTTCAATTATTCTAGTGGTTGGAATCTTTTGAATGCAGCTTTGGCATATTTAGTTAATTAGTCATTGAACACTAACTGTATGCTCAAAGTTTTATGGTTGCATATTTATACCTGCTTGTACAGTAAAATTGAGTAAAGAATGAAGTCCGTTATTGTACCAATATTGAAACTTTGTTATATTTATTCCAAATAATTAATAGGATAGCCGCAGGTTATCCTATTAGTAAGCAAATAAAAATTTAAACCGAAAAATTATAAATATAGGGAAGTGTTGGGAGATACTGCTGTATAACAATGAAGTTATCTCAAAAACGGACATTTTGGAAGCAGGCTTTGTGCTTCTCATGCCTTAACCCCAGTAGTAACCAGTTTTTGTTTTTTTTTTTTTTTGGCACCAACCTCGTATGGGTTGGTGACGGAAGTAAACCGGTGGCAAAAAGAAACGTCGTTCAACAAACAAATTTGTACTTACCCATGATGACGCAAAAAAAGCTAGCTAGCATGGCTAGTTGGCGGTGGCCTCAACCGCGCGCGACTCAAACAGAACAGAAAAGTTCCGCAAGAATAAAAAACTACAGAAGATTAAATACTCCTGCCACGACAAAACTTAATACCTGGAATTGATATATTTAAAGCCAATTTACAATTTAATGAATTTAAGACGTTTTAACGACGTGCGGACATCCTGTAAAGACCAAAGCTGAAAATTGCAGTTGGTTGAATGACCACTAGAGGCGCAGTGGTTCCTCAATCCCAACCCACTTCCTGGACATAAGGGAAAATGATCTAGAATGCATTTTGTAACAACTAAAGCAGCTCGAACGTTTACAACCAGTTTTTAGTTGACATTATAATTAAACTTACTTTCTATTAAAGAGATCTAACTAATCTCTGCGCTGAGAATGAATTCCACTGTGCTCTGTAAACATGTTGGTTTATTTCTCTTTTACAAAAACATAGATTATCACAATCCCGTTATTGATCCACAGCGGGAAAGTAAAATTGTCTTTGATTTATTATTTACATGATTCCACGTGTTAAGGCTGCAGGGCATCCAGATGTTTGACAGTCACACTGTAACAGCAGAAGATCTCAGAATGCAACAGGCCATACCAGAGCCCAGATAGACCTGTTTGGAGTCAGATTTCAGTCCCATGTGTATGACTCACTGCACCATCGCCAGGTCTTTGAGCGCATGACTGCGATGCTTCTTGGCTTTATATCCAGGCCGCAGGACCTCAATTTTTCTCTTCTTGGCTTCGATTTTTTTCTTGTTCTTCTTAAGTTTCTTTTTAGCGGCGATGTCTGGGTTGGCCACCGCCTGCAAGGTGGAGAATAAATATTAAAACAAACGTACGGGTGAAACCTTGTACATCATGGGTCTGGCGCTTGTCATACCTGCATGGCTCTGTGTCTCTTGCGAGCTGCTCGCCTCTGTGAGAACTCCTTCTGGACGGCAGAGAAGGCCAGGGAGAATCTCTCCAGCCCCACCTGCTTCTTCAGCAGCTCAATCAGCTCCTGCGCCAAGTTCTTCAAGGTCGGATCTGGACAAAATGGAGAAATATGGATTTAAATCTACCAAGACTACCTTTCTTGTATTTTTCGTTTACTCTTTGCCAGTCAGACAGAGACCTTGCTCAGCATATGTGCTGTCCAGCTCTCTGTACAGAGGAGTGATGATGGTGGTGAGGTAGGGGCCGAGGCGTTCCTTCCCCAGGTCCACCGCTGTGGCTCCCAGGAACTTAAACACACACGTTCTCTGTGGGAAAAAGCCGAGACGAGAGGCAAGAGGTGATGAAATGTCACACTAATCAAAGCCCTAAAACTATTTTCACATTTTGTCCAATCATAAACACCCTCCCTACAGTGGTGGCAGCACCATGATGTAGGGATGCTGTTCATCAGCAGGGGCCTCTACATGTATCTATATGGTTGCTTGGATTATGTATGGGTTTTTTAATGAACATATTGATTTAATTATTCATATTTGTATAATTTATTGTTTGTTTTATTGGGATAGTGTGTGACTTGGAGTGGGAGACATGGACTTAGAATTTTATTGGGATCATTTTAGGTACAACTATGACAAAGACGCTAAACTATGTTTTGAAGAACAATAAATTGTCCCAGTAATTATTGTGAAAAACAATGACAAGATATTGATAATGTCATAATAATGCAAGTTCACCCTCTCAGTGACTAATACACTTTAATTTTGTAAAGAACACTTAACATAGGAACTAGAAGATATTTTAAATATAAAAAATTTATTTATATGTTACTGATATTTATTGATAAACTCGAGAAAATCTGTGGCTAAAATAAAAACTGTTGCTGAAGATGAACCTGACGATCTGCTCACCTTGAGAGGAACCTTAGGAGCGTAAGCTGCTTCTCTCTTCGCCATCAGAGACAGCTTCTTCATGAGCCACAGCAAAGAAGGAGGCCTGTTGTCTTTTTCATTATCAACCTCTTCTTCCTCCTCCTCCACTTCCTGTTCGTCTTCGTGATCGCCGTCGTCTTGATCAGCGTCCTCTCCATTTCCCGTCTCATTTTTCCCCTCTTCTAGAGTGGTGATGTGAGACTCTGGGGAGATGAGGTAAATCACCTTTCCAACGAAGAGGAGGTTTTTGATCACCTGCGAACAGGAAGTCGGACATTTATGCACCAGATCAAACTGCAGAAGTTAAACTTGATGTTTCAGGTGTAACTTCGTACCTGCTCTCCCGACGCCGTGTCCAGGAACTTGGACTGCAGCTGGCTGCAGAAGCTCAAAGCCAACTCTCTCATCTGGAAACAGAAGGAAAGCGGAAGTGAGACGCAGGAGTTTAAGACGGATGCGAAGCCAAAAAAAGTGATGTTGGGCTCACCTTCTTGTCCAGGTTGTTGGTGATGAAGTCTACAGCCGCCGGGTGAGACGAGGCGTCTCCCTTCGTTTCCCTCCAAACGGCGACCAACTGCTCGGCCGGCTGAGCGGCGAAGAGCTGACCGAAGAGCTGCGAGGCGGTTAGCCACACCCAGCAGTGAGGGTGCCGCAGGTGGGCTTCCACGTGACCTGAAACGGGTTTGAGGGGTGTTCAAGAGCGAATTTGTTTTGGAAAGAGGGTGGGGCGTCTAAGACATGCTTACCCCACATGTGAAGCAGCGTGTCGTGAGGCTTCCTGAGCTCCAGCACACCGCAGTGTTTGTTTAATTTGGAGATGAGGGTGAGATAACTGAACAGCAGCCGGTCGGCTCCTTTCTCCTCCTCGACCTCATCGATCTGACGGGGAGACGTGAAGATTCTTTACAATTTTTCCATCCTTTTCTAAAACGACTTTGCTTCTACAGTGTTCCACCGACTCAAAATTAGGACTTTTTAAGACCATTTAAGACTTATATCTCCACGGAAATGTACAAATTTCGCTAGCTGGTTGGCAAGTGTATGTTAGCCGTCTCAAATCACAGAATGAACAGAAAACGTCTGAGTGTGACTTCAACTTTTGCCTGACAGAAATGTCCCGGAAGAAAAAAAATACACAGAATATGCGGGATTAAATAGTCCTGTCAAAACAAAACTTAAGACCTGTGATTAAATTACTTTTTAAAAACGAATTTAAGACATTTTCAGTCCTTAATTTTAGTTACACGAATGTAAGACTTTTTAAGGATGCTGTTGTATGTTTACTCACATCTTCATAGGCGTCAGGTTGGATCTCTTTCTCCAGCAGAGGCAGCAGGTCGTCCAACCGACTGGAGAATTTCTCCTCCTCCACTTCCACAAACAAGCCGCAAACCTGAACGCCGACGCGCCGCAGCGTGGTCTGAAGAGGAAAACATCGACATGGCTTTTAAAAAGGATGTGACAATTAACCGATAGGTCTTTAAATCTCTTAGTTACGAATAATCCCTGAACTTTTCCACTTTTGTCGCACTAAAGCTACAAACTACTGGACTTAATTGGGATTTTAGGTAATAAACCAACACAAAATAGGGAATAATTGTGGAGTGGGTTGTAAAATCTTTGTGCGCATCTATATTCACCCAAAAAGAAGAAAACTGAGCACAACAATGAGTTGGTCAATTATGTAAATTCAAGGGATGCACCGATTGAAGTTTTCTGGCCAATCACCGATCTTTAAAGAGTCCAATTTTGTTTAAAACACAATTATCCCTGATTTTGACCAAACTTAGGTAAACTTATGAATTCAAGAGAAGCTACAAAGTTTTCAGACATTTAGGAAATAGAAAGAATTTGGGTAATTTTTATCTAAAACAAGAGAGGCTTGAACACAGACAGTGTGTCTTTTTATATTTGGTATCAACTGTACCGGTCGATCTCCAATCCCTCAAAATGAAGGAAATCGGAGCCGATTTATCAGTTCGATCCCACACCAAAAAAGCATTTGTGATAAAATGTGGAAACGTTCAGAGGTGTGAATGCTTCAGCACCTTTTCTGCAGTGAGCCAGACGTTGACATAGGAGTACAGCACGTTTTGGTGGTGTACGTCCAGCTGGCCGAGCAGCGTCTTGATGGCCATGGCGGCCATTTTCTTACAGCGCACCGAGTCGTCGTTGACGATGATCAGAGCCAGAGGGGGGAAGAACAAGCTGCTGTACTCCGCCAGCAGATTCTGAATGACAAAACCAGAATGTTATTCATACATTCGCAAAAATCTGTAATTGTCAGGAATATCGTGATAGAGAGAAAAAACAAGGATTCGAACCTGAGGGAACATCTGGAAGATGGAGGCCAGCAGTTCCAACACCGACTCCCTGCCGGTGTCCAGCTCGTACTGCAGCTGGGCCACCACGAAGTCCAGGTGGGACTTCAGCTTCTTCCCCAGCGGGTAGTCCAGCAGGTACTTCAGGTAGATCTGCACCGCACAAAACCTACGGTCAGACGCCAGCACAGACCTCTGCTTCAGAAACGCC